AACATTATATGCGTCTCTTTTTGTATGTTTTCTAAATAAGACCGCGTGCCCATACCCAACTGTAATAGCGATTAAAGCGATCTATTCTTTTAGCATTCTTTTAGAACCGTACAGAACCGAAAACCGTGACCCTAAAACCGTGATACAAACCGAACCGTGGGTTTTGTGAACCGTGCCACCCCTAATACACTGACCTTATAAAAAAGCCATTCAGAGCACAGACACACATACACACACTGTTACTGTCTCACAAAGCACTGAATAAGACACCCACCTGTCGGGACTCCGGCTTGCCGTACCTCAGCTCTGTCACAAAATGCTCACAGTTGCGGTGAATGAGACTGTACGGCAGCACCTGACCCACTCGACTCTCAGCATCACTCAGTATGGTGCTGACACTTCTGGGCTTATGCATATTATCCAGATGGTTCTTGACACAGAACGTATCAGTTCCCACCACATAGAACAGGATTTCCTTCTTTACAATGCCCATTTCATTCAAGAAAGACATTGTGCTGCTGGAACCTGCCAAGCTTGGGTGAGAGGAAGATATTCCATCTACATAGAAAAATGAATGTAGTATGAAAATTAGATGTAATGTAAACTAAGTAACAATAGTTTTCTCAGGAACATGGTCTGTGCTCTCACCTGGTGTGGTGAGGTGGATGACATAACCATCTCCAACGTATATGGCCCAGTGATAGAATGTCCCACGATAAATCTCAATTAGGTCACCGGGTTTCGGCTCAATATGATCCTGCAAATGGATGAGTTACTCATGCAAATAAGCACAGGAAGCACTAGGGGTGTGAATTGTTGGCTCCAAGGCAATTCAGTTCAATTATGATTATTTAGGGGACAATGCAATGCATGGGAAGTCTGTCATTTCTATCAGGAAATGATGCGATTAATCGATAATGGGCGTGTTTCCTAATGACAAACAATGTCAACGAAAAACAAACAAGATAGCAAATGACATCGGTAAAGAACAAGTGAGATTTGCCAGTGTTTCCCAAAGCCCTACGTTATGTGACATTTGATGAACAAATTTCAAGTAGTTCTGTTTTGGCTCCTCCCAGTGTCCATGTGAGAAAAGCACAGACTGTTGTTAACAAGAACATTGATCCCAGGTATCAATTGTACAGGTATTGTACAGGTATTTAATATTCTGCTGAATTGGTGCCATTTCTGTACCCAGTACATTATACAGACAAATATGCATGAAAAGCAGCTTTATAATGCATGTTATTATCAAGCAAAGTGTCCTCCATAATGTCCTCATTGCAAATTTAAAATACATAATGTAAAACATTAATAACTACTTAGAAAAAATAGTTTGTCAGTAGTCCCTGCTCACTAATGCTACACATGAAATATAATTATTAAAAACCTTTTTTTGTATTGCTGTGCGACAGTATTTTCCATTTATGCTTTACATACATTTTCTTTATAGCAAATCAGTAATATGTTAATCAAAATACACATTTTTGTCGTGTTACCCAAATACATTTGTGGCCCAAGAAATTTGGCACATTCCACGAGTGGCATGTTCAACTGGAACTTGCATTATCTCAGCCACCTGAAGACCACAGGAAAACCAAAAGTAAGTTCTCTCACTTTCATTCCTGTATTTTTGATGATATTGTAAGTATTATAAGATATTGGAAGGAACTGTCACAGTGTCTTGGAGTACCTGCACCAATCAAATCCGCGCTGAGAAATAAGGCGCAAATATAATGCCATAGTCTGGTTGGACGGGGTTCCTGAGTACATACATTTATTTAAATATGTAATCTAATCTTGTTTAAACACCATTAACATCATAAACTTACCATCCTTTGGGCCATGACAACTAACAGCGGTTGCCTGTTGAGAGCGTCTTCTGTCTTGTATGAAAGGTGTTTTTCCCACAGTGTTTTACCTATAAATAAATAAAGAAATCAGTGGGTCATCGAACTGTAGGTTTTAGGTTAATAGTGATTCCAAAAAGTGACAATCAAAACCACTAGTAATATTAGGTTAAAAGCTTTAAAAATGACAAAGAAAAAAAACCGATACGTTATGTTATTATATTAAATTGATTCCAAACATAGCTAAACTGAACATCATACAGTTTGGTCTCTGATCTGATTTTAATACAATTACAACTTGCTAGACAGAGGAATAAGTATCGCTCATTTGAATCCTCTAATACTGAAAATAGAAGAGAAAGAATCTTTATTGTCACTGCGCAGGGCAGCATTAGCGACATTCCAACCAGCATAAATAATAAGGAATGCAGACATCTGCCACAAACACTCGGGTTAAATACAGTGGTGCGTAATAACGAACGCAGATACTACTTTGTGACGCTCGTGGAAAATATTGCGCAGCTTCAGTGGTTCGTCTGCTCGAGGTACAGTACAGTGCCTAATGTAGTTACTATTATTACTACAGTGATATAATTTTTTTGCGTGAATGCCGTATTTTCTCGTAAAAATCCTTCCTCCATAGTTTTTTGCTAAATTTCAAAGTGTCGACAAAGGCTTTATTCGCTAAACTAATTTTGTGTCGACATTTAGAAAATTTTAGCCCACTTTTTATCGTTAAAGGTATTGCGCTTAAAATCTCTTGGATGCAAGCCTGCCTATAGTCTTGATATCATCCTTATTATAAGGAACAATTACTTGCGACTATTGAGATTTCTCAATTTTTAGTCTCATCTGATATTAAAAAATTCAGGCACTACAAATATAACCTTATAAACATTCGGATTAGAGTCTCTTTGATGTGGGAATGCAGGGGTTTCACTGGGTACCTTTATATGGCTTAGTATTGTGAAGGAATACATGGTTAATGTCAGGCGGAAATGAATACAGTAGTAACTTGGTAACTCAAACTTAATTCGTTCCAGAAGGCTGGTCGAGTTGCAATTTGGTCAAGGTCCAACTCGAATTTCCACATAAGAAATAATGTAGATGAATTTAATCTGTTCCAGATCCCCAAAATGATGGCCTATTTAAACTCATCTACCTACCGAACTAATGACAAAAAGCATTTACATTCAATATAAGACTAATTCACACATAAAAAGCACAGACAGAAAAGCAATAAACATGAAATAAATGAGATTCCCATACTCTGAAGCGAGAGCAAACACACGCGTCCCACCTCAAAGTCTCGCTATAATTTCCTATTTAAGTTCTACAGTTACTATCGCTACTTTATTCTCTTTGGTTTGCTGCTATCACTGCTCATTTTTTAGGGGCCATGATTACTGTATAACTAAATGTCCTGTAGATGTAGCACAAAAAAATCACACCGAACACAGGAACACAGCTTTTGCATGCCGAACTCGGTCCAGAGGTACAGAGAAACCGATTCATGATCATCAGCATCCCAACAGGTCCGTCTGCCTTCGTTTCAGCCCATCAGAGACGCGCCTCGCTCCGAACAAGTTTAGCAGGTTTAGCAGGTTTTCAGTTGAGTTGCAGCTAGATTTTTTTCGACCGAGCTGATCGATGTCCAAATTGGTAGATTTGAACGCGTCTCGACCCATAGAAGTTTTAGCAGAAACTGTCGAGTTCCAAGATTTCGGTCGAGGTACGAGGTGAAATAAAATCGACAGACCCGTTCAAGTTCCAAGGTTCTACTTTATCTTTGATTTCGCGTTTGGCAACTTTTTGTAAGTTATCTGACAGACAGCAATGAATGTTTTATATATTTTTTTTATTACTTTATAACATCTGAAAGAAATTGAAATATCCAAAGTTACGAGCCTGAGATTAATGGGTACGAAAATCAATGCGTTTGGCGTTTGTCTGGTCCTGATGGGTAAACTATCCGTTATTTACAGTGGCTTACTTAATTATCAAAAGTATTTACTTGGTATTGGATTATTTATTAATTTTCTTACCTTGTCGGTGTGTGGATGGGCTTGTGTAGAGCAACGTATAAGCAGCGTCGGCACTTATAATGTTCTTTCTGTTTTGCGCCAAAGAATATAACATCGGTAATGTAAGTTTCAATTCCTTATTACCGCCTCTAAGAATGTCATTGTATTATTGTCCTCATTGTATAACTCTACATATTACACGCTCCAGAGCTTATATTTCACCCAGTCATACCAAAGTCATTCTGACCCTCATACGCAGAAAGTTATACACTGCCCGGCCAAAAATAAAGTCGCCATTTGAATTTGTATCAGCAAATACTTAAGAACCAATTACTGGATCATTATTACAGCTCAGCAACATTATGCAGCAGTAAAGTAAAGTCAGCTGAGTACCTGAATCTACTGAATGGCCAGGTTACACCTCCATCCATCATAAATGGATTTTTTTCTTCCATGTTGGCATGGGCATATTCCAGGACAAGAATGCCAAGATTGATTGGGTTCAAATTGTGAAAGAGTGGTTCAGGGAGCATGAGGAATCATTTTCACACGTGACTTGGTCACCACAGAGTTATGACCTTAACCTCATTGAAGGTCTTTGGGATGTGCTGAAGGAGGCTTTATGGAGTGGTTCAACTCACTTGTCAATACAGGATCTCTGTGAGAAATTAATGCAAATATGGATTAAAATAAAGGGTGAGATATTGCTTAAGCCTGTGGAAACAATGCCATGACAAATGTGCGCCATAATGAAAGCTAAAGGCGGTCCAATGAAAAATTCAAATGGCCAGGCAGTGTACATACAAGTAGGCCTATATCTTAAAACAGTTGTAGGCTGCTTTGTTTAATGGGGAGCTTATGCATTAAACGTGTCAGTGACACAATAATTTATAATAATTAAGGGACTGGATGTAGCATTTTTTAATCATCAGTAGATGTTGACATAGAGTGTCAAAAGTTTTGAGGCACCAAACTCAAATACACAGATAACCGGGCTAACGAGGGGGGCAGGTGTGAAAACGAGATGACTTATGGAAGGATATATTGGACTTTATCATTTGTAACCCACAGAAGACAATCCATAAATATGTACCATGATCCGCAAATACATCACTATCCACAAATATGTATTATTAAAATTTGTATTGTGTAAAATCAAATCCTCATAAATATGGAGCGATTTGTACAGGTGAAATTTATTTTGCGGATTTGTGGATCAGGTCCTGTCTATTTGAGGATCGCGTTACATTTGTGACTTTGCTCCTATTTATTTGCGGAGAGCAGTGAATTAAACAACATGGACAGACTAAGGTGGCAGCTACGTATAAATTCTACAGACAGAACAAAAAGTCATAGATGACAAATCGACATGGCCTGGGGACTCTATGAGGTAGCTATGAATCAGGGTTGGGGCCATTCCGGAATGCATTTTTCAATTCCAATCCAAATCAGGAAAGGGAACTGAAGTTGGAATTTAAATCTCCCTGAAACTTGAATTCAATTCCAGTTCTGTTCCCCATAGTTTTTTTCCCCCAATCCCAGCTCCAGTTGCATTTCCTGATTTGGATTGGAATTGACAAATGCATTCTGGAATGGCCCCAACCCTGCTGCAAGATTTATCAAAATACCAACACCTGTCATCAGCCGCTGAAGTACATATGTAACTCTCCTGATCTCCCCTTTTAGCTATACTTTTAGCATTTAATTTTTTTTTTAAATGTATTTTCTTGTCTAACACCTGTGAACTCTATTAGCCGCCATTCAAATTCAAAGGATCGTTTTCCCTCAAATAGGGCAGGAAGAAATTAGTATTTCATATAGACCTGCATCTTGTAAAGAACCTACAGAACACACCTGTTGAGTGGCTCAATTGGAGTGGTTCTCAAACCAAGACTCCTCTGAAAACCTAAAATGTGGAACCCGATCCTTTGGCTGCGGCAGAGCCCCATCCATAACAAAGAACATTTACTGTGCTGCTCTCCCAGCCCAGCGCATGATTTAAAGAAACGGACAGTAAATCACAGCAGCCAGACCAGTTACTGCAGTTACTTTATTTTGCTGATTTAAGCAATAAGACACCCAGAGGATGCAAAAGATTAGTCAGGCCACACAAAGTCAATTATCAGGGTTTTAATTTCCACTCAAAATCATTGACATCATTATACCAAATGATCAGAATGCAGATCTCTTCTTACATTACAATTAATATGAATATGAAAATCTGAGAAGGTTTTGAGAGTGACCCACATTTACAGATTTCCCAGTAAATACTTCAGCAGTTAGCAGTAAGGAAGCATGATGTCATTCAGGCTGGGTGGGGGCACACTTTGTTTGTGCAGGTCTGTGCTTAAGCTGACCCTCCACCTTTACGGGCTTCATCTTCCTTGTTGTTCTTCTGCTCTAACAAGACAGAAGTTCCAGCCAGCAGACCCAAACCGATCACAGCAGCTCCCACTCCTGCAACCACCAACATGGCTGTACGTGCCTGCAAAATCACACAGACATGCACAAAGATCTGAGACAGAGTGGGCTTCTATAGTCTTTGGTCACAAACATTTCTTTACAGCATAAATACAGTTTAATTGCAATTTGCATACTACACTCCCTCTTCTAATATGTTGTATATAGTTTTACCCCTTAAAAATAAATAAACTAGAAAGGGGGGCTGTCAGGAATGACAGCATTGTGTTCATCACTCCGCCCATGTAATCCGCATTCATCTCACACTCACCAACCTGTATCATTTCTGCTAGCACTGGACAGATCACCTGGAAATGTGAATTTTAATAAATGAGTTTTTACTTGAATGCTTTGAGTTCTGCAGACACGTGAGTCTGAAACTACACTTTTTAATTTACTGCACATTCCACTTATATGGCAATTGCAGAATCTTTCCCTACCAATTAGGTAGTTGCTTGTGTCCCGTTGTGTATGTTGAAATGTCCATTTCTGAAAATTTAATTTATATTGTTTAAATTTTTTATATGGTTAAATATTTACATTCTATTTATTTCTCTTATGCAATATGACCAGAATTTTCCATGAAGTAACAGTAAGAACTGCAATAGATTAACTATATTAGGGCTGCAACTAATGATTATTTTGATAATCGATTAATCTGTCGATTACTTTTTCGATTGATCGATTAAT